AAACGTACCGTCCGGCAAGGTAGTCCTGTATTAGCCTTTTTATCTCATTAAGAAAAAGAATATTTTTCGTTGTAGTCAAAAAGAAAAAAATAAATAAAATATAAATAAAAGTGAAATGCCGAAAGTCAATTTCGTACATTTTGTGTGGCCAACACCTATTTTTAAAATTTTACTAAGCATTCTACTTCTTATGACCAAAAGAAATTGTACATTCGATATTTATTTAACTGGTTTTATTATTATTGTTGTTGTTATTATTATTATTATTATTATTATTATTTATTTATTTATTTTTTATTAGTTTTATATCCGGTCAGCTAAATAAAATTAAATGGATCGCACCTAGACTTGTATAACCGTGATCATGTAATACGCATACTTGATAATCATAACAGCCAAACACTTTTTAATGAATATCGTTCACTTAGAACGGATGGCGCCAGCAGGGGGCGGGGGCAGGGCCCCGTCGGGGAGAGCTGCCGCCCCCGCCACCCCTCCGTCGGGGAGAAAAAGCAGAATTCGTCGGGGAGAAAAAATATTATATGTATTTTTTACATATTAGAATACTATAAAATCCCTTCTCCACTCCCCCCCCCGCTGGCGCCACCCCTGTGTGGATTCCCCACGTTAGATGTGTTGGTACGATTTAAAGGGAATGAGTCGCCTTCTACGGTTGATGGTAGGACACATGGTCAATGCCAGTGCATGATGTAATATATCAGCCGATTACTTGTGAAGCCAGGGGGTTAATTTCCACCAGAAAATACGATTCTAATAACCCCATTTCGAATAATTTAGATAGTGCGTTAGACACTATGGCTGAGCGATAATTCTTAGGGACGATTGGATCTATATTAGTTTTTTTAATTATTGGAATAAGAATCCCTTCTCTAAAAATTTTAGAAACAAGTTTGTATTTGAGGGCTATGTTAAAAACTGTGGCCAAAATATCGGGGAAATATCTAAGATGGTCCACGCAGATTCCGCCCGGAGCGGAACCCCTATTAAGTTTGTTAATATACCTAGTAACGTTGTCACAATCAACATATATACCGAGTCAGACAACACGTATTTAAGCCTATCAAATTTTTCTTTCACGATTTTATCAGCTTCAGACACAAGAGCTAGAGATATTTGTGCTAAATTTATTTAAAAAAAAAAAAGATTAATGTTCTTTTACGTTCGTTCGTTCCTAGGTACAATAATACCTAGGACATTTATTAAGCATATAGGCTATTGGCCCAAATACAATATAAAAGAAAATCATAAAATAGTCAGCTTCTATGTGTGAGTAGGCTATTATCTCACTGCCTTCTGGCCAGGCAAACGCCTGTTCCTCGACGATGAACAGTCTTATTGTTCTTCTTTTTTCCACGTGTTTCTTTGTTTTTGATGTCCGAATTTGTTTTTGATGTTTTTGTCTTGTGGCACACCTGCGTGTTTTTTTTTAATTCGACAATTCTGGGGTTTTTAGATTCCTTTATTCACTCAATTTCATATGAATTTTAATGTGTTATGATGTATATTTTTAATGAATAAAAGTGATATTTAAAAAAAAAAGTTTTCTATTTTTGTATGCAAGGTAAATGAACTTGACAAGGTTATAATATATATTTTGATTTTTAGAGGACATTGAATATCATTTTACATTCTCAAGAAAATTTTACCGTTCAATGTCCTTAAGACGTAACTTAAAATCATCAATAAAACTTCTCTGATCATCTACATTTTAATCCACACATAACCAAAGCCCATAGTAAAAAGTAAATTTCTAACTTACATAGCCCAACAATTCTCATTTCGTTCTAATTTTCTAATCTGTAAATCATAAAATTTTACTAAGTACCTGCTCTGATAAGTGTGGATAATGTATATCCAAATTCGAATTATATTAAGTAGACATGTAATAGATATGGAAAACCGTCCCATTTCTGATAGAATCGATATGTTGGGCGCGTTATTCCCCACACCAAGAACGTATCTACAAAACTGGCTATGGCTATGGACACGTTTAATCATTTTAATGTCTTTAAAGCCCCAAATTTCTGATCCATACGTGAGAATCGGAAGTATTTTTTGTGTTGAATATGTAATTCCATTTGTTGGGAGGTAGATGATTAAGATTTCGATTGATTATAGATTTCATTGAAAAGAAAGCTTTTTTTGCTTGAATACAATTTTTGTCCTTATCATTTTTCCAAAGACCCTTAGCACTGAATAATACACCTAGTTATTTAAATGAATTAACAATTTCTATAACGTTTCCTTTGTAATACCATTTTTCTATTTTCCGTATCTTGCCACCATTTTTAAATACCATAGCCTTAGATTTTTCGACATTAACAGTGAGTCCCCATTCGTCACAATATTTAGAAAGTATATCGATTAAGCTTTGTAGTCCTTTAATAGTATCCCGTATCAATACAAGGTCATCTGCATATAGCAAATGATTTAATAGACAATCACCGATCTGGATTTTATCTATATTGTTCGTCAAATTTAGATTTTCACTTAAATCTTCCAGAAAAAATATTAAATAAAAGCGAAGATAATGGTGATCCTTGTTGTATATCGATTTCAATCTTGAACGCCTGGGTTAACTCATTACCAATTTTAATATGAGCGTGCAATTTTGAGTAAAAAGATTTGATGACATGCAAATCTGTAACTTTTCTTGGCGAGTTTGTATCTGGAGAAAACATGACCGAAACCAGGACGCCCACATTTATGCCATATATTATGCCAAAGCCTCAGCCTGCCCCGAGCAATGGTACAGTCTCTGCTCCACCTAACCTGCGACCTCTCGCTGAGAGATCCCAGGTCCGAATCCCGTCGGAGGCATTTATTACACAATGGCTTTTTACAGGACTTTATTCGTTGAAAAGCTACAAGGTAGCCTACGATGTTCCGTCATCACTGTATATGTACCTTTGATCATATATTATATTTATTTAACAGTGTTAAGTG